ATTGCAAGCAGCTGCAGAGATCAAAAATATTATTTAAAGTGCAGACTAGTTTCACAAGCCTAATTGTTTAAATAGATAAATATTACCAAAAGATGACAAAATGTTTTTAAATCATTTTTAAAGGAATACTTCAATAACTTTATATTTTAATGCATAAAAAATTTTACATACTGTAGCTTTGAGTTGATATACAATGATCAAAAGTCTTTTCAATAATATTTACACATCTCAGAAAACTCACAATTGTGTTTAATTTCCACTAACTTTATCCATAAGCTAACATAAGAAGCCAAAATAGTCAAGTTATTTATCGTAATACCAGTTCTACTGTTGGTTTTAGTACTATTATGTGCAACACATTCTAAAAAACTATTCTGCGTTCTTCATATTTTATACCCCTAATCTCTTGTTTGAGGATCACATAAAATCGCTGTTACCTCCTGGTAATCTCCAAGTGGTGTCAGATACTGCAGGATGAGCCTCTGCTCCATGGTTGGGCTCAGCGGCAACAACTGGTACTCTGAGCCAATCAGAATGGAGCTCATCTCAGACCAGGATGAGCTACCGCTTGGCTTCTCACTGGTAGCAGTCACCTCTGCCTCGTCCTCAGTCCCGCTGGCAGAATTCGTAAAATGGAGTTTCTGTTTATTCTTCCTCCCATTCTCAACCTGTTTCATCCCTCCTCCTTTTTCTCCTCCCTGAGTGTCGTCCTTCTCCTTCGAAGTCGGATGTGGGCTAGCTTGGTACACTAAATTTGGAAGAAGGCGAGCTGAGCTGCTGCTACCACCACTGTTTCTCTGGGCCAAAGATTTGCCCTTTGAAATCGACCTGCTGCTCTCTGCAACATTTTTCTCTTCCGTCTCCTCCTCAGAAAATTCTGTCTGGAGCAGCTGATGTTTTTTGGCACCCGACGTATGGGGAGCTTCATCCTGAGAGTCTTGAGGTAGATTCTGGACAGTGTGGGTGGGACTGAAGCAACTCAGGTGCTCTGCAGATTGCAACTCGTATAGCCGTTTGATCATCATGGATACCTGGAAATGGAAAGCAGAGCAATTGCATAATAAATATGCTTGTTTGTGAAGTTGGGTTAAACTAAACACTGCTTATGAAAAAAATACATTTTTCTACAAAAGAGGTGAGACACCCACCAGCTGAGCATTTTCTTCTTTATGGCTCGTGGCTACTTCCTGGTTGCTCATAGCTTTGGCCAGCAGCCCTGTGGCATAGATGCATAATGGCCGCTCAGCTTCACGGGCCCACATGAACAACTTCCCAACGAGACCTTCCTGTAATCCACACAGAACAAAACTGACAGCTGACTGTTTGCTTAAATGCATCAGACATCTTTCTTCCTGTTTGAATGCTAGAAATAATTATTACTCCTTGCTTGACACCTGAAGACCCTGTGTAGCCTTATTAAAAACTGCTCTTTAAGCTGAGGAGGTCACATAATATCTTCAGGACAAAGGATACATGAAATTGCATTTTGTATCATTACATTTTCTTGCAACAAATTTAATCAAATAAAAATAAAATTGTCATCTTAAATAAACGTTTTAAAATAAAGTAATATTACAAATAAATGTGGCTCCCTTTCACAACCTCAAGTAAGGATTCTCGTCAACACGCTGGTTCAGATAGTAACCGTAGAGACTAAAAAAATTACAAGAGCTCAGTCTACCAGTTTAAGACAACAAAAACCTGTGGAAAAAACATTAAAGTCCACCTAATTAAACTCCAGAAATAATTTGAATTTCAACAGCACGCGGCTTATAGGAAAGCACCAGCATTTGGGCATTTTGTACCACAAAGGTCTATTTAAATGCAATGTCAGACTTATAAATATTTACACTAGTTCAAAAAGCTTAATTTAAGAAGCAGAAGGGAGGTTTATAATGTCCTCTTTAGATCCATGAATAAACCTCTTACCAACTTTCTCTTTTGCTCCGTTTTATCTAATAGGAATAAACATAAAAAGTACCTTTTCTTCAAAGACGACAGCTGTGTCCAGACCTGGAACAATGTTCTGAAGGAGGCGGCATGCTGCTGTGTTGAGACTAATATCTCGACTGCTCATGATATACGTGTCCAAAAGCTGTAAGATACCGGAAAGTCTTATAGAAAAAACAATTCAAATTTCCTTAACTAACACCTCTCAAATAGAGAAGCCTGTATTTAAAATTTTAGATTAACATTAGTTGAATTTTAAATAATAACATATTATATTTACACCCAATTTGTTGGAGATGCACACTTCATAGACATATTGCATTAGTAATAAATGAATAAGTAACATAGTAACATTATGAATAAGACATGCAAACTGTAAAGCTTACTGAATTAGTGAAGTCATCATTTAAAAACAGCATCCTCAACAGTTGCCCCAGCATACAGTTTGGGTCAGCTCGTCCTAAAAGATTACACACAAGAGGAAGTCAACAATTGATCAAAAGTGTTTTATACTAAACTTATTTAAAAGACATATCTATCTAACTACGTTTTTGAGGTTCAATGACGTTTAAACAAAAACTGACCGTAGAGCACACAAAGTTTGAAAATCTGCGCACACCTGGATGACGATCATCAAAGGGATCAGGATCTGATTTGTAATATTCTTCTGTCTCCTGTTCAATCAGCTCAGATATTCTACAATAAAATAAAAGAATAAACGTAGAAAAAAATAGCTTACATGCATTAATGACTTCTCCAAAAAGAAGCAACTGCAAATTATGATGTCTTCACAAAAAGAAAGGATCTGACCTTGTTAAGATGGACACCAGTTGCTCTGTGGTACCCTGCCGCGTCTCCTCCCACTCATCCAACAGTCTGGCGAGATCTGCTTTGGCATCCACAGCCATGGCAACGGCCACAGCAGCCGATAAAGCGGCTGACCATGCAGAAGACAGCACAGCAGACAGGGCAGGTGATGGATCTTCATCTTGGGAGGACATTGCTGCCTAGAGAAAACAGGGGAGAGGATGACACCATACTGACTCGATATAAAGCAATGAGACTAATAAATCATGCAATCATAGTTTTGGACAGGCCAGCTTCAAACAAAAACAGAATAATAAAAGCCTAATATGTAAATCTTTTGACAAAATGTAAAAGGGATTTTTTTTTTACATATCTCAAACAGAAAAAGGTATCTTATTCTGGATTAGTGCTATCCCTTCTACTTGGGTCTGAGAGTTTTTTTATTTATTGGCCTTCAGTCATAGGAATCCAAAATAAAGGATGAAGCTGAAAATTGACTTTTTTCACTCTTTTCCAATATTGTTAAACAATATTTGCAGGGCATTTATTTCCAACTTAAATGTAACAGTTTTTTAATTTAATAAATAAGATAAATTATTACAGAAGTAAATCATGAAATACATTCAAATAAAATGAAAATGTACAAAGTCAAATTTAATATAACGGTCTAAAGATGCCATAATAAATAACTAAATAACTTGTCAAAACATTTTTGCATGTCTAATTCTTTAAATTAAACTGCAATGTAGCACACTAATAAAAAGCAATATTTTAGCTATTTTATTTACATACATAACTAAAAGAGAAAACAATTAAAACTTGAGGTCATTATGTTAAAATCATTATCATCTCAATATTGTGTATTGGTTTACAAATTTCATATTACATGTGCTGCAATGAATCATACATATCACATAGCATCTAACTGGTTAACATGCGAAGAAACAGTTTTGTAATCTGAATCCCTTTGACGCATAAGACTGAAAACCTAAATTAAAGCCAACAAGTACTGCAAAACAAGACTGAGAAATAATTTTGAAAACACTTAAACAGATGTGAATGCATATCACTGGTACTAATTTTAATTTGGATACATTATATTAAAAGTTAAAACAGTTATTACAAAATTAAAGTAATTGTTGGACTATGTATTTGTTTAATTGATCAACAATAAAAATAGTTATTTACTTTAAGCCTGGATAGCACATCTGCATCCTGAAATTTACATGCCTGAACTTTAAAAGTTTTTAACAACAGATTTCATATTTAGCCAAGAACAGTAGATATAAAAGTACATCTATTCAGTGATATTTCTACATTTTTTTACAAACATGTTCTGCATGCTGAATGACATCAGAAATACAATGAGCTCTAGATTTGCTTTGGAATAATTTATGTTAAAAAAACAATAAAGTAGCACATAGTCTTAAGTTACATAAAAATAGATGCTTAGTACGTGCGTATTAGGTGTCTAATTTTGGGTAATTTCAGTCACTTCTGGTCCCCATGAACATAGTAAACTTCAGTCATGAATTTGAAATACAAATAGAAGCGCTTCTGTTGAATCTCCCCGTTGCTTTTGCCCAGGATTCTCCCTTAACACTTACCCTTAGATGACGTGTGAATCGTCGCGGCCTCATCTCGGCAACAGCCGTCAGAGGTCGTGACAGATGAAAACAAACACTGAATGTTTTAAACCAGCACCAACAGGTGGGCCTGTCTGCTACTGAATAGCTGGTTTATTTGTTGCTGCTTCAGTTACTGGGCTTAGCTGGCTGGTACCAAACTCATTTAACAGCAATAATTTCAAGCTGCACCCACCTTGTCCTCTGCATAAATATCTCCTGTTCATGTTACGGAGAGATAAGCTCCTAAATGAGCCTCCGAGCTCCCCACGAGCATGTTGACAGTCAGTTGCCTCATGTAAGAGCTTTAGCTAGCAACGCAACATCAGGTTTGTGTGTATTACTTACACGAGAATTGGCTTTCTCAGCTCCGCGACGCTCGGCTGACTCCTTAGCGCTTCCTTTACTTGTATTCTAAAAACCGTGCTTGAAAGTAATTAAAAAAAAGTAATTTCTGTCTGACAAATTTAAGAAGGGAAAAAAGTTTCACGTTTATTTTCAAACTTCTCCCCGGCGAACGTACGCTACGTCACCAAACGGCCAGTCGACATTAGATGACGGAACTAGTCGAATGTTCTCATGGGATTTGTAGTCCTAAGTCTGTCCGGAGCGGTTTGCAGCTTTTGCGAGCACGGAAGAATTTAATTCAGCATGAGTATACCCAAGAAAATATTTAAAACAGAGCAATTCCAAAGACATTGCTGTGTCCCGTTTTGTTCGGCTTCCTCCAAATGTAACAGTTTTCATTCTTTTCCTACCGATTCCGACTTGAGGAAACAATGGCTGATAAACATACGGTGTGATCCTTACACAGTTACAGCTCACACCAAAGTTTGCAGCGGACATTTCACTTCTGATCAGCTCATTGAGCCAACATCTTTGACAGGTGGTCGGAGGCTGGTGAAAGGTGCTGTACCAACACTGTTTGAATGGAATAACTGTGAAGGTAACACAGGATCACCCCCTCCTCGAGAGACACAGGAATGGCACAGTTTACAGAAAGACCATAGCTACTGCTTTATACCCGGGGCCACTGAAAAGAAAAGGTCATCATCTTATAAACTGGACAAGTCAATCTCAGCAACAGAAGGCCAGTCCAAATATGTGAAGAACCTGAGGAAAAAAATTTGGGAGCAATTTATTCAGCAAGAGTTTTGTTTACAACGGTTTGCTGGCTCTGATGAGGACATTCAGTTTTATACCAGGTGAGTCTAATTTTTGTTTCAACTTTGTGTATGCTTTTATTTCAATAAAGTCTACGTTTTGACTTATAAAACCGTATCGATTAAGGGCAGCTGGGTCATATGTCTCGTAAATAAATTCTGTGTGTGGAATTTAATCTCAGTATAAATTCAGCTGTTCGGTGAAGACCTCAGTCATTTGTTAGAGAACATCAGTGAACTCACAGCAGCATGGAGATCAGGGAGCAGATCAGACAGAATAGATGTTAGATTTTAAAATGCCAGACAAAGATTTGAGCATGTCAAGACTTCAGTTATGATCTAACATTATTACAGAATATTAAATTATAACGTTCTGTTAAATTTAGAAATTGTTTGAAATTTGTTTCAATGTCAAATAAATTGAAACCCTTATTTCATTTCAAAACTATGCATGACAATTTTATTTTGTATTTCAAATAAGATTTTTTCTAACATTACATGTGAAACTGTTCTAGGGTTCAGTACATATGGATAGAAAAACCAAAGAACTAAATAAATTACTTTATCAGTTACGTTTGATATCGATGTGATAATAGAATATGATTCATATCTCCATTTTTAAATAGATTTCCAAGCTACAAACATTTGATGGCATTTTGGTTTTTGATTGAGCCTTTGATTCATAAAATGGTCAGGATGTCAAGATCTAAATTAGCTGCCAAAGGAAATGAAGAAATAATGACCTCTGCATCAGCATCAAAGGTAGGCCATGGGGATACTGGTAGCATCATGGGTTGTGCTCTAATTGCATTTCTTAACTCATTCTCTCTTATGTCAACTTCACAGAGGCAACATCTTCAACCTGTTGACGAGTTCTTTCTGTTCCTCATTTTTCTGTCAGTTGGTATGAAAGAAAGGGACCTTGCAATTCGATTCAACATTCACCAGTCCACGGTGAGCCGCATTATAGGAATGTGGACAGATTTTCTTTTCACTGTTCTGGGGTCTCAGTGCATCTGGCTAACACGGCAGAAAGTGCAAGCTTATCTCCCCGAGGAATTCAAGAATTTCCCTGACACCCAGGTGATCCTGGACTGTACAGAGCTGAGCTGTCAATTGCCATCTTCACCGCTTCCCCAGAGGGACATGAACCCCTCTCACAGATCCCTCTCCACCATGAAAGCCTTGGTTGGCATAGCTCCACACGGTGCTGTAACATTCATCTCTGATCTATATAGAGGTTCAATCAGTAATAGGGAGCTATTCAAACGCTCTGGCATTGTTGAAAACTTGACCAAAGACATGGCAGTGATGGTAAATAAGGGCTTCCTAATTAGGGAATGTTGTGAGTGTAAAGTGTACTCCCTTTCTTTTCTGTCCAAGCACCCAGAAGAGCAGGCCACAGCAAGACTCAAAATGCATGTGGAGCAAGTCATTGGGAGTGTAAAACGGAACAAACTTTTTCATGGCATTGTCTCTCTGTCACAGGCCTACAGCATTAACCAGCTGTTTGTAGTTGCATGTTTGCTGTCAAATTATCAGAACACTGCTATAGTTAATAAAGTGGTTCATTGAGGATCTGAGGACTTACGCCACAAAATGAACATAATAGATTTGATCTATGAAGCTGTGAAAACAACTACTTGCAGCAGATAAATTTCTGTCATTTGAGTCGAAAGCAGACAAGAAAACTGATTCTCCTGTGCAGCTAAATTAGTTCTTGGAAGATACTTGGAACACATTTTATATGCCGAGAAATGTTTTATGTTAGATATGGTTTTGCAGTTTGCAATTGTGTGCTTCACTAAATTTGACCATTGTTTGAATTAAAATGGTTTTTATGTTTTGGATCTGAAGCAGACTGTGAAGTGATTCTACTAACCTGAATTGGATTTATTTAAATAAAGCTTTGAAATATGTAATAGAAATTATATACTTGTCTTGTCAAATGCATTGAGATTACTCTACAAAAAAGCTGAAAAAAATACTGTGCAAAGTTAATAATTTGTGAATAAGTTCAAATTGATTCAATTAAAACCCTGTGTTTAACTGCAGATCCACGTTTTGTCATCAACGATCACAAATAAAAGAAGTGATTTCATAAATATTCACCTGCTGAAAGTGACAGACCTAATTCAGCGGAGGTCCAATTGACCCAATTGATGCTAGTATTTTCACAAAGAGAGAAATGGACACCTGATTGCTGAGTGGGTCTCAAATCATTGTAATATAAAGGAATCTTTTTCACTTTGACATCAAAGTTGTTTTTTATTGTTCTTTTTGTTTTTGTCACAAAAGCCAAATTTCTTTGAGTCAAATTTTATAGCATTCTAAAAGCAACAAAAATGGATATATTATTCAAAGTGGTGAATACTTCAAATAGGCACTAAAAGCTTTGGGACTTACCTGATTAAATGTACTTAAAAGATGTAAATTGCATTAACATAAGTATTTTGTATGTCTCACATGACTGCATGATTAATTCAGTGGCCTACACAACATGTAAATCCATTTCAAGCTTCTGAAGCTTTGCTTCAAACATATTTCTAACATTGTTTTGGTCACTAATACATTCTGCAAACATAGGAAACACATTTGTTATTAGTGCTATCACTGTTTAAATGTAAACATTTAATCTGCAGAAAATTCTCGTGCTTAATTTTGCATAATAAGCAGTTTGACTGTGTGAAACAGCACCTGCTTTCTAATGAGATTAACCAAAAAGCTTAAGCTAAAAAAATTTAGGATGTGGATTTTAAATTTAACATCACCTTCATGAAAAGAACATAATAGGAGCATGGTTCGGTGCTTTGGTTACTGATCCATCTTTTGAAAAAGTGACCTTTTGTTTAGTGTTGCCTTCTACAACAATTTCAATGAAACAACCTTAATAACTGCAATACCAATTTGATTCATGTGGTCAGTATGAACTTCTTTTAAATTAAAAAAATTGTTGTCATTTATAAAATTATCCTATCAGTTAGACTTAATATGTTTTTAGTTGTTGTTTTGACAATGCTCCACTGAATTGAACCCCATGAATGGGACAAACAACTTTTCACATCGACACATTTAGTGTGTGTGGTGACTCACTTTTTCTCATTGTCCTGCAGCATTATGTTCTCACCAACTTCTCCTGAAAAAAGAACTATTTTTAGTGAACACTGAATAAAATAACAGATACATCTCTCAGGATTGTTTCTGCTTGTGGTGACATGACCCCAGTCATGTAATGAAACCTCAAGTGTAATCTTAAGATCATTTTAAAAACCATTTGTTAGAAGACAAACATGGAGAAAATAGTAAACACAAAGAAAACATGGCCAGAAGTAACTTTCCAAATATTGGCACATATCCAGTCGCTGCATGATATTAGAAGATTATTTACTGAGAACATTGTTTTTAAATATGATGATGATACTAGTTGCGATACATTTGAATTTTGTCCACTCCTGTCTTTTCCTGATCTAAATCCCATAGAGTTTGCAGAATATTGTCAAGAGAAAGATGGGAAAAAACAACAACAAAAAAACAGATGCGACAACGCAGATAAGCTGAAAGCAACCTGCAGTGGGAGTGCTTGCCACAGGAGCCTAAGTCTAATATTAGGTGAATGTAATGTAGAGTACCAGGACATGCTTTTCATTAGGCAGACATTTCTGTTTTGAAACCCCTCTTCTTTTCATCTTTTTTAATACAAACTTTTAAAAACATGATTTTTTGTTTTTGTTCAAATTATAATCAAAATAATAACAAAAGTAACAGAAATAGATCTGTTACATCAGGTGTGTCCATCCATCCATTACTCTGTGTATCTACATGAATTAGTAAAGCAAGCTTCCAATGTACCATCACAATAATGTTTTAGATTTTGTTTGTGTTTAATTTTCTATATGCTTTAAAAAATAACTAAACTTAAATGAGGAAGTGAACACATAGCCTAAGCTAAAAACCTGTATCTCAGGTCACAGCAAAAAACAGGCAAGACACTATTGAATTTTTTAAAAGGACACTTTCCTCATCAACTTACATAGAAGGCTACTTGCTTATTCTCATCACAAAAGTACAGGAACATATGCTTTAAGGTCCCCAATTTATGTAACAACATGACCATTTCTTTCTGAGATATCGTTCTCTTGAATAAATACCAGGGATTTCAATTAAATATTTTAGTTTTAAGAAGAGAGAGAGAGAGAGAGAGACAAACCAATAACTAAGTTCTTCTCTTGGCAGGGTATTGATATTGCTACCACCACCTACACTGGACGGTTCCATACTAGGAAAACATTCAAAGCGGCCTATGATGTGCTCTTTCATTTAATCTGGGATTTATTTGTGGTTGGCTAAGCATCAATATATATGCATATTTATACATATCCACACACAGTATATATTGATGAGCACCACAGGTTTTATCTTTTCCAGTGGAATCCAAATGTGACCAAGACACAGAGCCCGAGTCCAGGAAGCAATAAATAGTTGATATTTCCCAGGGAGAAGGAAACCTTCCACCTCCAGGAGAAGAAAAAAAGGCAAATGGTTTTAAATTAAGCCTGTTTAAATAATGTTCTTAGTGACATTTGAACTGAGCATATAATACAAACTGACAAGACTTTAAGTAACAGCATTAGGTGTCAAATTTATGTTATTGGAGCTGAGAATGTGAGATCTCATAGTTCGGGTCATTTATGTTTTTTAAGCCTTGTTCAAATCAGTTCTAGAATATTTTAGGATCAACTTCAGACTACACTTCAGAAGATAAAAATATTTAGCATTAAAAGTTAGTCATGCTACTACTCTTGTGCTACATATGTTTTCTTATTAAAATGTAATACTTCTAACATGCCAACTCAGCAAAGTAACCCAGTCTGACCTAATAAATGAAGAGGTAATTATTTCTATCATTAATTTTTTGCTGTTTGTTTTCACATATCTTACAAAATACTCCAAGATGAAATTTTCTTGTGTTTGTCTATCTCTTTGCCGGCCAAACAACATCTGAATTTTCACAACAGATGAACAGATGGTCACCTGTCCTGATCCTGATTCTATTGGAGGTTTCTTCTTCTTAAAATTGAGTTGATTCTCTCCACTATCCCCTCGTTCTTGCTCCAGATGAGTTAGACCATGGAAGTAAAATTTCAATGCAATCTGATGGAGTTGACATTTGATGATCCACTGAATCTGGCTGGAGTAATGTGAGTTTACTGCCTTGCACTGTACATAACGGGATTTAAATTGGGCCTATAATTTGCTGTGACATGAGTTATCTTAACTTGAGCAATATAAATTAATTTAATTGGGTAAAGAAGAAAATGGTCTGGAGGGTTTTCACTTTTATTCTAAGACTAAATATCAAGAGATAAATTTAGATAAATTTTTAGGTCTTACTTAAAAACAATTTGCTTGTCTGCACTAGTAAAATACTGGCAGTAGTTTTATCGCATTTCATTTTCACATAGTCATGTTTTGAGGTTGATGAACCCTTGGTAGAATACAGATGACAGGCAAGACACTGATGAAGTGGAATTCAATCAAGCAAAAACACTAATAAATAATTCCAGAGTTACAAATAAAGCTGTTTAGAACAGGTGAGTCTAATTAAATGTGGTGCAGGTTTGTGGGAGTCAACGCTAGAGAAGCTGAAGCATGATGGCTAAACAATACACAGTAAAAAGACATTAAACAAAAAAACATCACTATAAGGAACACAAAACTCAAAACCAGAATGACTAACCAAACTCAATCCATAGCAGTTACTTCAGTTGGTCCAAGTCATATCAGTACTTAAAACAGTTGTTTTTGTGCCAGGTTGCTTTCTTAGAAGCAAGAAAAAGTTTTGTATTTTCACAATTTTTATTAAATATTCAGAAATAAATCAATGAACATTTGTGCAATAAAATCTAGCATTTTTGAAAGAATGTAGCTTTCCCAATTCAGCATCAAGTGAATGACATTGAAATTCATGTTTTGACATAATTTCCCTTCCAGTCAGTGTGGTGCTACAAAATTCATCAGATGAAATGTACTCCTCTGTGTTACCACAGGCCATGAACACACTGCCAACGGTGTCAGTGGGAGTAAGTAGGATCTGCATGTTCTGAAACACTTCACTCTGCCAAATTGTAATCATCTGGTGTTGTGGGAGTAGTATATAGCTGCCAGGAATTTTTCATTATTTTAAATTCTAGTATTATCTTATTCAGGGTCATAAGAGACAAACAAACACACTCATTCCTATCCAAAATTGCCAATTAACCTACACTGCATGTTTTTGCAGATAAGTTGAGCACACACAAACATTTTAAATATTTAAGTTTATATAAATATTGATATAATTCAGAATAAAAATTATCTGCCAGATCAGTTAACCATTTTCCTTCTTCCTTATTTACATTTTCATTTTAAGAGTAGTTCTAGAATCTCACTCTGTCACAATAACACTCTACGTATTACTTCATACGGTGAAGTAATACGTACACCGTAATTGGGTAAAATGGTCCATTAGCCTTTTCTGTTTTCTCGTTATTTCCTTTTTAGCTGCCACATATTTTAAATCTTCTGTTCAAAACATAAAGCTATGAAAATATTTCCCGCCATTACAGCTTTCTTATGGTTTTTTGTTATAACTAAATGTTTCAGATAATCAAACTGATCTTGGTGTCAGACAAATTTAACTCAGGTGAATGCAAGCAACCAATCCCCAAAATTCAAATTGAGGAGTGGCTTATTCAAAGTTTTGACTCTAATCCACTACATACATTCGTGCAACTTTAAACATGTAATTTATGATCAAATGTAGCTTTCATTTAAACAATGATGTACAGAAAAGGATTAAAAACATATGTAAAAGACTTCTTGCAGGATCGCAGGGAGCGAGCATCCATCCCCAGCAAATGCTTGATGAAGGTCATGGTACACCCCACGCAGGATGAAAATGGCAAAGCAGAACTTATCTGTACGAAAGCAAATAACGGTGCTGTGTTCATAGCATACAATTTTACATTAGCTTTTCTTAATGAAATACAGCTATTTTTATCACTTTACATTTGTTACTCCTCTATCTATTAATAAACTGAAGCATGTCATGCCCCGTTCATCTTTTCTGCCCACAATCTTCTGATGGGAACATTCCTCACGGAGAAAGAAACTTCTCCTGGAAGATGTTGTCAGGACGACTGCGTTTCTATTGGTGGCTCTGGGGGTACCATGGCAACCATAGACCTCAGTCCTCTTAGGTTCATTAAATGTTGGGGTCAGTGGTATCAAGCAGCTGGCGAAGAGCTCCAGGTAACAAACATTTTAACTATGAAGTGTTTGGAAAAGTTTAAACCTGAAGCATCACACACTTTGCTGAGGTTCAGCTCATCTGCACTGACTCATTCAGGGTCTTTTTGTCTACCAAATCAATACAACCATTCAACCATTCTCTAAATTTGTCTTTTTTCCTAAGGTGCCAGGGTCTCTTAAAAAAGGAATGTGGAGGATTAGACCACAAAATGGAGAAATCCTGATCCCTCAATTTAATTCGATCATTCTTTCTAAAGCACCTGATTAAATAAAGAACACATGCAAGCAAGCATTGAGGGACAGGGGTCTGTTTGGGATTATGTTAACACAAATAAGCCTAAAAGGCTTTGACGTTTTATCTCTCCGGACAAAAGTCACATGTTGGAGATGAAGCTGCTGACGTTTTTTTCTGTTCATTTCCAAATCAAGTGTCCTATTTTAAATTTGTGGCTTTTTATTATGTGGGTGGGCTATACAAAATGTGTGTCCATGTATGTGTGTTTCAGGGAGATTTATAAAAGGTCTGAAGGGTCGAATCAGATCTCAGTTGGAGAGTTATAGCATTAGAGGAGCTGTTTTCACTCAGAGAGAAGAAATGTAAGTACCTGTAATTATTGTTTGTCCGAGAGACTTTGAGAATTTTGTTATTTATTCTCAAAGTTTATGCTTTGTATTAGTATTGTTTTTTTATGACAAAATTAATAAAACTGAAAGTAATTCTGAAGTTGTGGCTGTCAGGTACACATTGTCAAAGTAATAGCATAATAATAGAAATTTGGTGAATTTTTAAACTTTGTTTAGCTTTGTTTTATTTTTCTCAAATTTGAAAACTGATATTGTACAGATGTTTCTTTTCTACTGTTCTGACTTTTATCATGGGAGAAACCTGCAATTGTGTCTTCAGAGAATTTAAATTTAAGTTGCAGGAGATTATTAGGAGTTTATTCTTACCTCCCTTACAGAATCCCATCCATGGAAAGGTTTGTCATACAAGTTTTGTTTTAGGTTTTACAATTCAATATTAGGAAAGAGATTTCTAAATCTAGAACTATTGGTAATTGCCAACAGAAATTTTCCCTAATATTCAAAGTTGCGCAGAGATGTAAAATGAATAATTGCTATTGATTTATACAAAATTCTGTGTTTTATAGTTTCATAACTGCTGCAATTTGTTATGCAAAGAGTTAATTGTTTTGCTCATCCATGTCTTTTAGAAAATGAAACATTAAAAATTAAGGGCAAGTAAATTTGACTTGTGACTTTTATTGTCACAAGTCAAATTTATTTGCCCTTATTTGCCCTTAATTCCATAGGAGGAACCTGACTCTGGATTTACAAATTACCACATAATTATTCATCAGCTCCTCTCTGTGATTCCCTGTGAAAGAGTACAGCTGACAGATCTGACTAAATGAATAGATGTCCTGCTCTCCAGATACATTTTTCCACTTTGTTATGTTATATTTTGTGTATGTTTTCTGATTCAGAAGATGCAGATCTCCCCTGTGCAGTTGGTTGCTGTGATGATTCTTGTCATCTTTACCAGCGGCCATTGTCAACAGAATGACAAGTGAGACAAGTATCTTTGATTTTCTGCTTTTGTGTAGATTTTTATTTTGTCTCGAGACAAATTAAACATACATAGGTTATTTAAGAAATTAGTCCAAAATCTGTTCCTCAATTAATCTAGATAAGTGGTTGATTCATGTTCTGATCCATTAACATGTTACCTGATTATTTTTACCAAGTACCAATGACAAAGTGTTAAGTTTCCATTCTCTTTAGGATAGAAAACACTTCATAGGTAATTGGGTAAAATAGTCCAATTTAACATCAAAGAACTTTTGAAGACTACAACTGTGAATTTTTTATGGCATTAAGTCCTCAGATGTCAGTGGCATTTCTTGATTTTTTTTTTTCAGAATCAGCAGTAAACTCTGTTATGTCTTAAATTAAGTTCCAAAAGTGAACATACTTCACTTCATTTTGCTTTTATGTACACAATTAAAATAAACATGGATTTTTAATCCTAGTCTTCCAATTATTATTTTTTTTTTACATTTAACTTTGAAATGTTTTTGCATGGATACCAACAGTTTTTATGTTAATGTCAGAGTCCAGTTTTTGGCACCCACCTAATGTGAATAGGGAGTTTTTAGATCAAACCTGGTTTGGATGGAACTGTGTATTCCTCAAAGGTTTTCTGAATTGTGAGGGAGTGCACTGACTTGTGTTTGGTCTCCCTACAGCCGTCGAGCGGTGACTGAACATCAGCTGATGCATGATCGTGGTCGAAACATCCAGAGTCTGAAAAGGCTCATCTGGCTTTCCAGCGCTATGGAGGGTCTTCACACAGCACAGACCCGCTCAGCTGCTGCTACTGCTTTCACTCCTTCAAAGCTCCTGAGCTCCCCTCTGAATCCAGTTCTGATCCCAGCTGGAGAGAGCCCCCAATCTGCTCAGGTCCAGAACATGCTGAGAGACTTCTTTTATCCTCATTTGAATCATCTCTTGGATGAAGAGCCCTGACTAACACCATGTGAATGCATATTAAACATGAAATAAAATGTACAGAAAGATTGAGCGTGTCATTTTTTTTGTATAACAGAAAATCTACAGCATACCAATAAAATCTTCTGTAAGGCGACCAAGACTTGCATTCAATTTATGTACCTGAAATAGACACATTTAATTGTAAACTGTAATTTTTGTGATGCTTTATGTAGGCTTACAAATAGATGTTGCTTTTAATTCATTTTAATTTATTTTTAAAATGAATTTATTTTTGTTTGCATAGTAATTAACAGGGGCTCTCAGCACACATAGTTATTTACAGAGAGAACTGAAATGCGCTTCAATCTCGACCAAATTTGAAGATTTGTTCAGATTGACAATCTTACTAGATTGTGGAGCAAGTAAGTTTAATAATGGGGAGTTATTTACATTAAACCATGATGAGAGGTGAGGCATGTAAAAGAATTGTCTTTTTGCCCTCCAGCATTGTCCGCATGTGTGAAATTTTCTTGTGGAAACAATAACATTCATTGTAAATATGATTATGATTAAATCAGTGCCTCCCCAACTTTGAATCTCACCGAACATTACTGCCCCATTCAGCCTGACAACTTAAAATTATATATTATCTACTCCCTCTATCATTTTCCATGGGATTTGTTTTTACATTGTCTCAGGACACTGTCTGAAAATCCTAGGTTAAAGAAAATAAGTGCTGCTCGGCTTTTTTTTGTCTTGTAAAATAGACACAGATTAATCTAACTGTGCATTTATTTATTAATTTAAGCTAAATGCCTCAAGTACATAACATACCAAGTGTCTGTTTTTAATGTATCAAATAAGTTGGGCATATGTTTGCACATTTTTAATTTCTTTTCCTGTTCATTGTGCTTTTATACATGTTGCACTGATATAATTTGATTTTAAAAATATTATTGTTATTATCATCTTTAGTTTTAGTATTAATGTCTTATACAAGTACAGGCCATTTAAAAATGTATTATTATTAGTTGCCTGGGAGATCAAGTTCTGGATAAATTTTTCCCTGACTGAAGTACACGTCGCGAGATTTCCGTGATGGCTAACGATAACTAGCTCACTGAGCCGACTGGGTGCTGGGACACCGGGTCGTGGATATTTCTCTACAGTTGCAGACGCTGCTCTGGATCATACACAGTAAATCGGAGCGGACACTACAAGGACAAGCTGGCTGTTGGACTTAAGCTTCATAACTGACCCGTGGACAGTCCGTGGTTCCCGTGCTTTAATCGCCAGGTCAGTTGGTGTTAGCATTCGTTAGCTGAATTTGTTTTAGCTTGTTAAGCTCGACAGGGCTGCACACCCGTCAACACCACTTTGGTAAATAAAAAAAGGTGCGTACTACACATTTTTGGTCAAATAAAAATTACAATTCAAGAATATTTTAAATGGAGATAGGAAGTTTGAATTCGTAGCAATTTGTCCGTTTGAACCAAGCTAACATGCTACTCAAGAAAATGTTTGCTGCCGATGAAGAACTGTCAGCAGTTCGTGTGTTGCAGAGAGCTGACAGTTAAATTAGTTTATTCTTACTGCATTTAAACGTTGTAAATAAATCGCCTTTGGTTCGTACAATGATAACAAGCTTTCGGAGTTACTCTGTGGAACTCAGCGTAATAGTAGAGCGCAACATGACACGTTGTGTTTTGACTTGTCTGGATGTTCCATCTTGACTTGATTGATCATGTATCAGTGACAGAGACATGTGACAGTCGAGATTCACAAGGGTCGCTGTGTCCTTATGTCTCTGAGGACGTTTAACAGCAAAGTAGGGGTTGTTTTAATTTAAATAATTTTCCCTCCTTTATGTGCAACGTTGAAAATATTTAAATGAATGCTGGACCGAGGTACTTGAAATTATAATTGCTTAATCTTTGGTTGGCGTCGTAATGTAAGAATGTAAGCATTGCTGTTTTAATAAAGAGTAGATACTTGACATTTCTCTCAAACCATAAACAGTAATAGTTTGTGAAACCACTTGAGATACCCTTATTTCTTCATAATTTATTTCCTTAGTTCTTTAGACGTTCTGCATTCTTTAATTGTTTTTTTAAAAAATCACTTAGAAATGACAGTGAATTGCTTAATAGATTGTTTGAGCTACTTTAAAAACAGAATTGGCAGTGTTTAATTTTTTTTTCCAGAGCCACCTTTCTAGCAAACTAAGACTGAAGTATAGGCTTGGCATTTATTAACTAATTGTTAATTAGTTATAGAAATATTAAGGTAACTTCATTATCTGAACTGGTATGGACATTTTTAATTCTCTTCCTGATCAGCAGGTCACACACTGATTGTTAGGTGCATCAAAACAAAGATAAGTGACATGCTTTTGGTATGTAAATGCATTAACTGATAGGACGCATTATGATGCATTTTTTGAGTTGAGTAAGAATCCAAAAAAGATTAATATAATCTTGCAGTTCCTTCATTTTCTGCAAACTCAATTTTAAGACCTACAGTAGATTTATTTTATTCATGTTATAGTCCTGGAAATATTATGATCATTTTTAGTAGATTTTTCTGAGAATTCCATTGGTTAATTCTCCCCAGAAGTCATCCAGCCACATCGTGGATCTTTAGCCCTCCAGGCAGGACAGTGGCAGAGGCAGAGCCATCAGGGATCACATCAGGGCTCCATGAGCACCAAGGGACAGCAAGGGGGGAGCCTGCGTACTCGCCGAAGCCTTACCCGGGACAAGGATCAGAGGCCAGGCACAGGCATGGAGGCGGCCTGCTGGCTGTCTCCTGGGGTGCTGCGCAGGCTGATTGAGCTTCCTTCTCCCCCTCTATCCCGGCACCAGCTAAAGAGACTGGAGGAGCATAGGTATAAACACTGCATCCTGTATTGCACAAAATTAGATTTATTGCCCAATCGCCAATTCATTATTTGGCGATAATTAAGCTGCAAGTGTCAAGTGTTTTAGTATTGTTTCTCTTGTTTTTGCATGTTGAACTAAATGTTAAAGCTAATAATGTTCAGGATGTACTTAAAACATAATTATATGAAAAACGTTTGAGAGAAGTTACAAGGGATTGTAAGATATTTCAGTACAACGTGTGTATTGTTCTCAATTACTTTACCTGGTGTTTGCTTTTGTGCTGTAGTGTTTACTCATCCAGCGCGATAATGAGGAGTGATAAGTCTTCTTTGTACTAGAGTCCTGCTTGTACAAAGAAGTATAAAGAAGCAGGACAAGTATGTCAAGTCTGACGTATGTTTAAATGATTAATACAAACCCTTTTTTATGACTGTTCCTGCACACAAATTTAGAGCTTATAACATGATTTGGAGTTTTTATAAATTACAAAAAGTTAAAACAATATAATTTCTCTTAAACACTACAATACAAGAGGAAGATGCTGATAAATATGTATAAGGGACATAAACATTAATATACATAATTGCAGGATGAGTTATGTTTTGAAAAAAAATGGTCCCAATAATGACAAGAATCAACAATCTCCATATGTTAAAACCTCTTTTAGCCTTTGCTTTGGTGATTTGATCCTTCTTACAACTCCATCGTTTTTGATTCTAGTTTTGTAAGAAATCTCCAGGATCTCACCTGCTTGTTTTCCATCCCTACAGGTACAGCAGTGCTGGACGCTCGCTGCTGGAGCCTCTGATGCAACGCTATTGGGAGTGGTTGGTTGGACAAGTCCCTTCCTGGATTGCCCCCAACCTCATCACCATCGTCGGCCTGGCCACCAATGTCTTCACCACCCTCGTGCTTGTCTACTACTGCCCCACTGCCACTGAGCAGGTGGGACAGAAAAAATGCTTCTAATCCTAGAACATATTCTCACTACCTAAATAATCCTCCCCAGACACTGCTAATAGGAAACTGTTGAAGAGGAAGACATTAAAATTGTTTAAAGGAAATTATTTAACAGTATAATCAGCTTATTAAAGTAGTGAGAAAATGTGAATGTGGTTTGACAATGTTATCAATAACAATCAAAGCTGAAAAGTTCATTCTTAATTTAATTAAACTTTTCTTTCTGCAAAGGTTGCAGATAAAAATTTTCACTGTTTATGACTAAATGGTCCATCTTGACTGGAAGCATTGTGCTGGTTTATATTATTTAATGGCGTCCACAGTGTCTTTTAGACTCAATTGAAAACATTTTCTTTACTGATATGTTTGGTTATTCTAATAGCTTCTGTTTATTATCCTTAGAATAAAATGTTCCTTGGGAGGAAAAAAGCTTTGTGTAATAAAACTGCTAATGATAATTGCATTTTTCTGTGTTTGTGTTGCTCCAGGCTCCTCTCTGGGCATACCTAATGTGTGCAGTGGGTCTCTTTATCTACCAGTCATTGGATGCCATTGATGGAAAACAGGCCAGACGCACCAATAGCAGCTCTCCATTGGGCGAGCTGTTTGACCACGGCTGCGACTCCCTCTCTACAGGTGGGTTTTGTTGATGTCTGGCTCTCATCAGTTTTGTTTCTGTACTTCTGTTAGCTAACAGCTCGGTCTCATGATGCTGTAGTTTTCTCTGTGGTCATTTAAAGTTTATAACACTCTATAATGTACTGGCGTGTGCTTGCAAACGCTCAAATCTCTGTCTTGATTAGAACAGCATGTCTCGCAGTGCTGACCTCCCATCACACACACCTCTTTTTGTCTGTGTCACCACTTCTTCTGGAGCCCAACAGCATAGGAAATAGCAAGGGACAGTTGGTTGTACCTAAAAAGAAAAACAAAAACAAAAAAAAACTAAAAGGGCACAGCCTTTGTCTTAGAAAACCTGTAACCATGTTAACAGTGTCTGTACCTGTGTTTAATCCTTGCAGTGTTTGTTGTACTGGGAACCAGTATAGCAGTGCAACTGGGGACCAACCCAGACTGGATGTTCTTCTGCTGCTTCGCTGGGATGTTTATGTTCTACTGTGCCCACTGGCAAACATACGTGTCAGGAACGCTACGCTTTGGCATGTGAGTCAGGAAACAATGAAAACAAATCTGTTTTGTCTCAGTCTAATTATTTGTCTGTACTGTTAATTTCAGACCAGCCTTTAGTGGCACACAAGCTTGTTTTTAAGCTTTTAAAAAGTCTTGTATATTTAATGTATATTTCTTGTATATTCTTGTATATTTAATGTGGGATTTGTTTAACAAACAAATCCCCTTTTTTCATACAATATTGTCAGAAATTATCTATATTATTTAGAAATGGTTTATCATTGTCACAAATACAAAATTAAAAGTGCATTGTACCTTTTTTAAGTTTTATAAAAGATGCAGAGAGATTAGCTTCAGTATCAGTATTAGAGTACACTGACTTTCTAGTTGGATGAAATGGCATGATGGGTCTTGAGCTGCCAAGCCATATAGGTTTAGCTGTTTATGGGAAAATATAACATAACTGTATACAATTGGCTGAAGCTGAAGATGTGCTAAATTCAATGTGGAAAATGCCACTTGTCAGTACAGGTACAACACAGTAAGGTGGTTCTTCTAAAGGCTGAAGCTATAGATTACATTTTTTCAGAAATGAAAATTGATTCAGAAAAAAACAAACCCTTTTTTCTGTGACTTTATTTTGGGTTCTGCTCGTTTATAGATTTTCTTGAGAACCTAGAGGCTGATTATGTGATTGAAAATTTGCCAAAAGCTAATCTGCATAATTTCACTGCAAAAACACAAAATCTTACCAAATATTTTTGCTTTAATTTGAGCTTTAAACAAGCTCCTATATGTTGATAAAAGAGTGACTCGTATGTTAGTTTTGTCTTATATGAAGATACTATGCACTAGAAACTAGACCAAAATTCTTTTACATTTTGTTTTAGTGTAATGTTTGGTATGTCATACTTGGTCTTAAAGACTATTACTAAAAAGAGACCTTTTGTTGATTAAAAAAGTGGTTGAAAGAACCCAGGAACAGGTTCATGGCACCTGGTAATCTTGGCCTTTCTCCAAGGCTCTGAAGAAGCTATCTAAACGTGGATCCAGCAGTAATACTTTAATGTTAGTCCTTTCATCAGCTTATAGCAGTAACGTGTGCAGTCGAGGTGGAGTAAATGTAATGTGTCCTGTGTGTAGATTTGACATAACAGAGTTGCAGCTCTGTCTAGCAGGATTACAGATGCTCACAGCCACTGTTGGTCCCTCCCTGTGGAACATGATGGTAAACTTTCTGGCTGCTGCCTGCATGGCTTACTGCTGCCTGCCTCCACAATGGCTGCTGCCCTGTATGGAGTCACATTGAGAACAATGATTCATAATCTGTTTAATTGTTTTCTACCTGTACATAAACTTAAAGTTAACCATGTAGACCCAAACCACTGGCTCCATGTCCGGGGTAATGTCTTGAGGAGGAAGGCTGCAGGAATTTGATGTGCCAGAATACTTTTACTAAACTTCACTGTAAATCCTCTGCTTTTTCCTCCCACTCAGCATTGATGTGACTGAGGTGCAAATCTTCATTATAATCATGTATTTGCTGGCCGCCGTGGGAGGATCTGCTTTTTGGCAGTCACTGGTAATTTTGAATGGTTCTAATTCCAACAAATTGACATTTTGCATATGATTCTATCATTCTGTCGTGGTAATTTTGATAATTTCATAAACATGTAATGCTGCTCTAACATTATGTTGACTGTTTTATGCTAGTAAAAAGAAAATAAAAAATCAAGCCTGCGCTTTTATCACTCTCTAACATTACTCATGATGTCTTCATTGTGGATGCATCTCTGAACATGTTTATGATGTACAAAACAACTTTAAAAACCAGACCAGTGGATGTTTTAACCTCTTTGTTTGACAAACTGTAAGTTTCTAAGTTTGCTGTGTGAATCTTCTGATTCCCAGATTCCCGTCCTAAATATCCAGATGAAAATGATTCCAGCCATTTGCACTTTATTAGGAGCCATCTTCTCTTGCACAAATTACTTCAGAGTTATATTTACTGGAGGTGTTGGTAAAAATGGATCCACAATAGCAGTGAGTATCAACACATTTTGGTTCAAAAGTATCATTGATGTTACTGTTTGTGGAGCTGTGGGATTACTTAGCAAAATAATGAAACAAAATTCCATTATCTTTTGGTTCACTAATTTACTAAGCTGACATAATAGGGTGGAATAATAAATCAATAAAGATATATATAGCTACAAACACGTTATCAATAATTTCTCTAAAATTTGACCCAGAACTGAACAGCATTATGGGGGATGGAGGCAGAGGAAAGTTCTTAACCACTCAACCTCTGATGGACAGCTAAGCATGGTTGGTGGCATCAAATAACTCACAAGCTCTTTGGTTATCAAGCAGTTTCCTGTTGAGTAACTTGTGGTTACCTAGGAACAAACTGTTCAGTAACTTGTGCAGCAGGTTTCTCCACTGTACCTCATAAGTGGATAAAAACAATAAAACATGCCATGGAGTGAAAACTGTAGATAAGAGGATTTGCCATACCACCACATCAGCAGTACTCCAGATATTTAAAACAAAAAATGATTAGCTGCTTGAAAGCTTATATCGTGAAACGTTTTTCATTTTTTACGACAGTGAAATGGCCGCAGCAGTTTTGATAGATGAAAAGGAGCACAACCATTAAACATACAAACTTTAAAAACATTTTTGAAAGTAATTTGAAGTCAAGAAATGGATATTATCAGTCCAAAATGTCTTCTTTTCCCTTGTGCAAGCTAATGAAGAAACAGCCTTTTTTGTGTCATGAGGAAAAAAAATGTCTGACTAATTCCAAAGAGCAAGGAGCCAAGATTATAAAAGAATGGATTATAGTTTCAAAGTGACTGCTTTATTTGTTATAAAAGCCTCAACTGGAAAAAAGAAGGGTTTTACCACTGTGTTTACTTAACTATCAGTCATAAGGGAGTGTCAACTCTGACACCCAGATTTCTGATATTGATTTTCTTGTTTTCTATTGGTGCCAGTTGGGCCAAACATCAAGTCTTCTCTCTTATTCTTATTAAAATTCAGAAGATTTAGTTCCACCCATCTCCTGATTTAAGCCAGGTACTTAAGAAGACAATGAGCAGAGCAGGAAACAAAACCATTCACAGGGAAATAAACTTGCCACTTGTCTGTATCAAAATGTTTGTGATTGAGTCATTCAGGGCACGTTTGTACTAGCAACAGGGCCAGTTTTCCTCTCTTTGTAAAATGAAAGACTGTTAGAAACATAAGATTTTAGGAACTGGTTTCTAGTACTCCTCTGTATAAATGTATAAAAGCTGACCCTGATTTTGTTGTCCTTTGTCCCCAGGGAACCAGCGTCCTCTCTCCTGTCCTACATATTGGTTCAGTTATAATTTTGGCAATGATGATATACAAAAAGTCTGCTGTTCAGCTCTTCGAGAAACATCCATGTCTGTATATCCTGGCGTTTGGTTTCGTATCAGCCAAAATCACAAATAAATTAGTTGTAAGTCTTCAGAATAAATGGACATCTACATCACAGTTGACATTTTTGTATGTGATTAAATACCTGACATTTTTACTACACCAGACATATTTACTCAGAGAAATAGGTACAATTTTTAAGACTAAACTCGATAAATGCAGAAATCATAATTAATGCAGTACTATAATAATATTGCGAATTGTTCAGTCTGACGGTTATGAGTTTTTAACATGTAAAACCTTTTGAGTTGAGGGAGGCACAACCAGCATTTGTTTTTCAGGTCAGTGACATTTTCTGAGAAATGTTGAGTTAAGCATGATCCTAGACTTCCATCTTATAATTTTCAACTCATTTTTATGCAGAACCTCGTTGTTATATTAGACTCATGTAAAAGATAAAAAAAAACTTAAGTTTGCACTGTAAAAACTAAAAATATTTAAGTTTGTAATTATAAACTATTTAAGTTTGTCATTTCTATACTTTATTGGCAGCATAATCTTTGAGTGGAAATCATTTTTTTGTATTTGAGCTCAAATTTGTAGTTTTTAGAAAATGTATAAATTGCTAAATATAAATCATTAAGTCAAATTATTTACATTCCATTCTATCCAACAAGGATAAACAAAGCTGTTCTGACTCATGAGATTTCCTGTGGCCGGTACTGATGTTCCTTCCTAGAAATGTTGTTGTTTTTAGAGAATGTTGAATCTTCTATTTGTTTTTTAATGTGATCTGCATATTTTTCTCTTCCCAGGTAGCACATATGACAAAAAGTGAGATGCATCTCCATGATTTAGCCTTCTTGGGGCCAGGATTACTGTTTCTCGATCAGTATTTCAATAGTTTTATTGATGAATACCTTGTACTCTGGATTGCACTGGTAAGTATATGCTTGATGTCAACTGGTGTATTTTGGACAGACCTGTATGTGAAAGCTCAGAAGCAGTCGATGACATTAATGACAAATATCAGTTTTAAGTTAAAACATGTTTTTTTGTTGTGTTTTTTAAAGTTGTTTAAACTGTGTTTATAGATTCCTTATGAGTTATAATTCCTCAATGAGTTCTGATTATGTTTGAAATTCTTTTCAACCAGCAGGGGTGTACTTTTTTTGGTTGTTGTTTTTTTTTTTGTTTTTTTTCCAGTCTTGTAAGCTTTCTTTTTCCCCACATACGTATCTTAGGTGAACATTGTATGATTTACAGAAAAAATTTCAAACAGTTTAATAATCATATTTTAATTTCTGAAGTGGTTGAGGTATCCTCTTCAGTTTTCTGATAATATTGTGCATTACCTGTGTCTATAACTTTGCTCTTTCAGTCTTAAAATGATGACCTTTCTCTTGTCTTTTGCAGATCATTTCTCTGTTTGACCTGGTGCGCTACTGTGTCAGTGTTTGCAACCAGATTGCCTGCCATCTTCACATTTTTGTTTTCAAAATCAAGCCTTTGCTTAGTCCCCAGTCCAGCTAATCACTGAGGGGACGCCAGCCATTACTGACTCTGTCCCTTCCACTTAGTCGCACTCATCTTCTCTTCCCTCAGTTTTACTCCTGAAGAGGCAGGAGTTGATGTGGTGTAAAATATGTGCTTCTGCCAACTGAATATGAGGACAAATATGATGCAATAGGATACTGGAGTATTACTGTCATTTTTTCTTTTCTATGTTTTTTCCACCAATACAGAATTGAATTTCTGACAAATTCATGGTTACGATGAGCAAATGTTTCAGAGGAGTACAGGTGCTACTCTGTGCGTCCAAGGAGAGAAACTTACATGTGTTTTAACTGTATAAGTGCAAGAAAATGTACAACGAACGAATCAAGGTTTTTGCTTTTCATGATAAGGATTTTTGTAATATTTGCCTAACTTTAACTTTTGCTATTGTAAATAGGAAACTGTTACAGTGTGCTTCTCTTAAGTTAAACGTCCTGCTACAACACATATAAATATATAAATATATATATAAATTTCATGTATTGGATTTTTAATGCAACTTCATCTTCTGCACATGAATCAAAACTGTGCTGCTATTTTGTATCAGCAAAATGTGTTTTTGAAGGAAACAGCAGCAACTTTATTTTATTATGTAACATATCAGAACATATTTTTTTTATTTTCATTTCTTTTGTACTTCAAAAATATTCACTGCCAGTCCATTCTCGGTTTAATCTGTTGATATTTTGTTTTGCTTTCTGCATTACTGGGTTTTGTACACTTTAAAGTTTAATGAGAAGGTTTTCTTTGCTTTATTTTTTGGTTACAAAAAACATTTTCACAAGTGGGAAAGGAGAACTATATTGAGTGAAAGGACTCTTTAAAGGCATTTATAGTTTTGCAGGTGTGTATGAGAGACTAATAGTGGCCTTTGATCTCTACAGTAATTTGGTAGTAATTTCACACATTTTGAGCTTTTGATAACTAAAATAAAAACTTGTGTTTCAGTCTTGTCACGGTTCACCGGCTGTCGCATCCACTCCGCCCAAAAAGAAATCCCATGAAAAGACCAAATCATACCTGCATGTCTCACTTTTATTGCCTACTTTTACTGAGATGTTTGCACCAACTTGATATGTAACGGTGGGTGATACATTATTTTGATTAAAATTTATCTAATTTTCTAAGCTGCTCATTCTTCTATTTTAACATTTTTTTCCTTACCATTTTTTCTTAGATTGCGATGTAAATTGTGATTAAAATCACCAAGTCTGTTAATTCATAGTAACATATGAATAAATGACAGCAAAATGATGCAAACTTAATGACACCGAATTGTGACTTTTATTTGAAAGTCCTTCTTAGAGCATCTGATGGTTTTTTTTCTTCTTTTTTTTTCCCTACATTTGTCTTTTCATGGGATTTGTGGATAAGAAATCCCCAGACTCTCACCAGACTGATGAATGAACACAGTGCAGCTGCCTGGCTGAATCCTCCTTGAGAGCTGTGTCTAATATTGATCTCACCGTTTCCCCCAAACACGTCTGCTGTAACAACAAGTGCACACGTGAATGAATGCGCAGGAGATGAGGTGTAAAAACAAGCTCATGTTTTATTTCCCCTTTTTTTTTGTGATGATCAAGTTTATTAAAACCCCATCTGTTCTGTTTGCGGTTGCTGCTGCTCACTCACCTCAGACTCACGCCGTGTTTAAGATTGCTGCTGCTGCTGGAGAGGGTTTCCATTGCTGGTCTGGATTCATACAGACCAGGTTATAATTTCCTGCTTATGCATTTTGTGCCTGTCAATGTTTGTTTGTTTGGTTTTTTTTTCAAATTCTTTTTCTAGGACTATACAGTTTTTTTTACCATCTGTAATGCCAAGTGTTCAGTCTCAAAAAGTGTGCAGTATCTCAGTTTCCATTAACCAATTTCAAAATGATTGTGGTGTTTAATCATCCAGATATCTGATTATATCTTTACATAAGTGTTGGAAGACTGGCTCACCCAGATCAGACTTTTTCTTTTTATACATTTATTTGAGAAGGGATTTTCTGAAAATAAAAACTTTAATCCAGAAGAATGTTTAATGGGTTTTGACACTCTACATAAAAAAAATAATAATCTTGCTTTACACAAGCATGTCATATATGCCAAATCAAATTTTTGATTCATTTTAGAACAAACCAGCTAAAAATTAATTTGAATTTTTGAGTAACACTGTTTTAAATAAAAGATTGACTAAAAATTGGTAGATTTCTTTCCAACACCTGAAAAATAATGTAAAAATTGAATTGGTAGAAAAATTACTTTGACAAAATCCAATATTTTAGGTTCCCAGTCCCCATTGTAAATCAGGTAATAAAAAAATAAGAGGCTTTATATGTCAAAAACACTGAACATTTACCAATTGCAATTTCAAAAACTTTATTTGTCTTCAAACTGAACTAAGCTGCATTCAAATGTTTGCTGAATAGGATGCCTAAAAGACTTGCGGTTTATAATAAAATTACAACAATCTAGAGGGATTTGGGTGATCCAGGTCATCAAAAGAACATAGCGGAGGGCTCCACTTTGCAGATTTGGTATGAAATACAAGGTACATTTAAGAAAAGTCATAGAATGTCATTTTCCTGTCTTTATTTCTGGTTCTCAGTGTTCTAGGACAAAATAAGGAATGAACTGGTTCCTCGATCTGCATGTTGTAGTATTCCACTGTACAGTTTGTATCTGGAGAGGCTTTGTATGACTTCTACCTGAAAACTCAGCTGAACAACTTTTCATAATGACTGTGGTACACCACCATCACTGCAGCTTGTGTGCTTATAGTTCCTGGCATCAGGTCCACTTTCATCTGTGAAGTTAAAAAAGATGCCTTAATGAACTCATTCGTTTTCTATTACTTTGTACAAATTGAAGCCTTTCTCGATGAGCGCGTTGTCACCGTGTGCACGTGCTCTCAGAAGCTTGTGGAAAAATTTGTCTTCTGTTGGCCAGAATGCCAAGCTCAGGTATTTCACCAGTGTGCGCCACAGTGTGTTGGATCACCTGACAATCTCTGCTTCATCTAACAATGCAAATAAATTTAATATTCCCACCTAAAAATATGGTTTTGTCTTACTAGAAATGTATGCATTGCTAGGTCTTTTTTCTTCATTGCTATGAACTTGTTGCATGAAGAAAGTTTTCCTCTTGGGCATAAAAAAAGTCTTATTTATAAAAGAAAGATGAAACTTTGAATGCTAGTTCTTTCTTGTGGAGTTTAAAAAGTTCCCTTTTGACTGACCAGAGGTGGTGATTGTGGCTCAATCAATGTCCCATTCTGCTGCAACCATTTAATGATTTTTGGCCACACAAAGATTAATTTCTTTTTTTCATTTAAAAAAAATGAAGCAGTGGGCTTTTTTTTCATTTCAAAATTAGAAGAAAGTAATAGGGAAGAAAAGCCAAAGTGTGTAAATGTCTAATTAAACTGGAGAGCTTGCTGTTACACCCTGCTGTTTTACAGGGGAAATTGTGCATAATTGGGAGATAGATGTCTGTTGAAACAAAATTTCTTTAGTTGGGTTATTTAATATTAGTTCACCTGTCACTAAAGTGAAAGTTTGAAAACTTAAGAAAAAGTAATTAATTAGAATTAAATATGTATTTGTAGTGCTTGTATAAATTATTAACCACAGTTCATGCCTTTTGAATCTTCTCTAAATGCTTAAATTGCCTTTGGTTCACATTTTTTCAAGGCTACAGCTTTCTGCTGCTCATGTTCAATTTAGTGCAAATTTCTTTTACTTTCTTTTAAAATGCTAGTGTTCTGTGAAAAGTCATTTTCTTTTGGAATGTAATTTTATGGCTTACACAACTTAGTTTTTGGTATCAAAAAAACTAAGCTTGAAGTCAGTAATCATCCTCACGATTGAGAAGTCCATGATATGGCACTATGTATTTAAAAATTATTGTTGCTAAAACTTTTGGATTTCTTCAGCAGCATTTCATAACTGTCCAAATTAATAGAAATACATGTTGTAATGCATCGCACTCAGTGTGCAGCAAATATATAAAATCCAAGTTTTTCCTATTGAAAATGATTAAAACTAACTCCCCAGTGGCACTAAAATTTGAGATGGGCTCTTAATTTATTTTAATATATCTATCTATCTATCTATCTATCTATCTATCTATCTATCTATCTATCTATCTATCTATCTATCTATCTATCTATCTATCTATCTATCTATCTATCTATCTATCTATCTATCTATCTATGGAGATGGCTTCATATTTAGATCTATATATAGAGATATATAGCTCTCTATATATAAAGACCTATAAGATATATGTATAGATAGATAGATAGATAGATAGATAGATAGATAGATAGATAGATAGATAGATAGATAGATAGATAGATAGATAGATAGATAGATAGATAGATAGATAGATAGATAGATAGATAGATAGATAGATAGATAGATAGATAGATAGATAGATAGATAGATAGATAGATAGATAGATAGATAGATAGATAGATAGATAGATAGATAGATAGATAGATAGATTTTTAACTAAGCTGCAGCACTGCCTGACAGACAGAGCACAGGACAAGAAAAAAAAATCCACTTGAATATTTAAGTGCGCATGCGTAACTCACCAAAGGAGGAAGCAGGCGGCGGACGTTGCGTGAGGTATTTTCAAAGCTTGAACAGACGCTTTTCGTTTGAAGGAGTAGCCTATAATTAAAAGCTGAAGACAGTCTGAACCCCTATTTTGTTTTCAAGAGAGTCTTTTCCTGGTTGCTGTTGCAGGGCTGGAAGACTGGAATAACGTGAGCTTCATTATTTTTACTGAGGTGATACCGAATACAGGAACTTTTCTCTACAATTATGTGACATTTAAGAATGTTGACTAACAAAAAAAAAATCTACTGTGCATATTATGTAATTGACTTAAAAATATTAACATATGATACACAGTAAATGTTGTAACATAATGTACAGTCTTTTGTTAGAATTTAATGAAAGCACAACAAAACTAATCTTATTTCGCAGCAGGAAGTTTCGAATAGTTTACAAATATCCGCATTTTGTGCTAGTTTGCTTGTTAAAGTGATCAGTTGGTTTAATGTGCTTTCTCTCAATTTCCTTCAGAGTATATCTGTATTTTGTACGGCTTTATTTACAATGTTTAAGTCCATGCGTTTATAGTCTCGTTTTATGACACTTTAATAGAAAAAGTTTCTTTTTTGTGAGAACGGGGAAGTGAAACCTGACACTTCACTGCATGTTGCCCTTCGAGTTCAACTAATTTCTGCTACAGTCTCAAATAAAAGAAAAAACTTACCTTGTGACTGGAAGTCAGGTGATTTGTTTTTAATGGGGTCAAAACAACACTTTGATACATAGAAAGACGTTTAGTTTTGCTTCCACTCTGGAGTTTTGGTTGATCAGATCAGTTGAAAGCTAATATCAACTGTGATTTATTGTATTCATCTTTAAGCCCCAATGGGGACATTTTAACCCCAAACTCTTTATAATTTCAAAGAAAAAAAAGTAGGAGCCAGGAGCTTTAAATTCTTGAGAAAAGCATGACATTTCCACTATCTGATCAGACATCTGATCAGATCAGACATCTCTCTCACATTACCTGGAAAACTAAAACAAATTGTGTACATAAAGAAGGAATTTGACTTTCTCACTCACACAACATACAGCGAATAGATATAAATATATACATTTTAGAAAAAATAGCATGAAGGACAAATGCTACAATGTGTACATATTGATGTATGTACTGCCATTGTGTTGTTAGAAAAAGCACAAAAAAAAGAAAAGCAGAGTGTGTTAGTGCAAATGTGCTTGTTTTGTTTCACAGCAGAGTGGTGAAAGTGGTCATTTAGTTTGTTAGAGCCTGGGGGTAAAAACTGTTTCTGTGGCAGCTGGTTTTTTGACACAGACACAACAAGTTCCCAAGAATGAGGGAAATCAAGATTTAAACTGTTTTTAAATTAGACTAAGATTCTCCCTGTTTGTTTGTTTGTTTTGTTTGCTGTTTTTTCATAATAGGATTTGCTAATCGAAACTGTGTTTTAAAGAATGCATAATTGCAGTAAAATAAACCCACCAAGAGCCATATTTTATTACAGATCCTACACTCTCCATCTTCTTATTGATTGGAAATGGTGATAAATATTTGTGCTTTCCCCTCGGACAGTGACACCCTGGGCAGTGAGCCATAACAGTCATGTAAAAAAAAACAACCCCAATGATGGTATTATTGACTTGTGTTTCTCACAACACAGTGTGAAGAAGCTGTGAGGACACCATGTGGTGGTTCCAGCAGGGTCTTTGCCTCCTGCCTGCTGCTCTGGTTGTTTGGACGGTGGCATCCTTTGTCTTCGCCTACATCACAGCAGTGGTGCTGAGACATGTGGACCCTCTGGTGCCTTACATCAGGTCAGAACTGGGAGAATGTCTTGGGTCTTCATATCCAATATGTTGGGTTTTATGACAGAAAACAAAAAAGTCAAAGTGATTTAAAATAATGTTTGTTTGATTTTTTTTTTTTTTTTTCTGGCAGCGACACAGGAACATTGGCACCGGAGAGGTGTGTGTTCGGGATCATGATGGATATTTCAGCTTTTTTAGGTAAAACTATGTGGATCTTCACACTCATTCTTTATTGTCAAAGGGACCTACACAACTGTAGACTTATTTTTTTTAACCCTACTCCCTCTCTGTGTTAATGCCGTTTGCAGGCATTGCCACGGTGTATGTGCGATACAAGCAGGTCGAGGCTCTTCTCGATGATGAGGTTAAACTCCAAAGACTGAACTGCTTTGGGCTAGTCCTCGGCTGGATGAGCTCCTTCGGGATGTGCGTGGTGGCCAACTTCCAGGTGAATTTTGCTGTTCTGGAATCAGTTTCAGTTCTTTTAATATCTGAAATATTGACTGGGTCAGCTAAAAATGTATGCATCCCTCTCTGAGCAGAAGACAGCCTTTTTCTCCATGCACCTGGTGGGGGCAGTCTTGACATTTGGTGTCGGAGCGATCTACATCCTGGTTCAGACGCTGCTGTCGCATTACATGCAGCCTCACATCCACAGCAAGACCACGTTTGTGGTTCGCCTCACCATCCTGGTCTGGACCCTGGGCAGCATCATCAGCAGTATCCTTAAATTCCCTCTGCTAGCTCTGAAGCACATTTGTAGCAATCACATGAAAGAAGAAATATGCCAATTTTTCACTGGATGACAAAAATTTCTGTGGCCTTAATGAGATATCTGTGACATGGTTTAGTTGGAATCCATGAAGATTCCAGAACAAAAACCTGTTGTGTAGTTTCTCTTTGAAGTTGATTCTTTCGCAACTCAATTTAGGGACCCAAAAATCAAGCTTTTACTGTCCTTATTAGCTTTTTGTTTCAATTGCAAGAGTAGTGTGAAGTTATTATCACACTTTTAGACAAAATAATATGGAAGTTATGTGTGAAACTGACCAACATTAATAAAACATGAAGCCCAAGATGTAATTTTGGAGTAATTGACTATACTTGCAAGATCAATTAAACACAATTTGATTATCAGTCTGCTGACATCTGTCAATTGCATCCTCTCTATCCTTGCATCAAACCTGCTGGCCCATTGCTCAGGAGTTTAATTTCTCTTTTACGTTAACTTTCAGGACCGTTGTTCACTTATGCTATTCATGGTGCATTCAGGGGTAGTAGAAATTGGTAATCTGAAATTTTGCCTCCTTTCCAATGTACAAAAACAAGGGATGCACCAACGAGCCATTTCTTGTCTGATAGTTTTTTCTGATTTTTCTTCAGTGATTCAAATTTGTTATAGATACTAAAACACATAAAAATAAAATTAATCTGGTGCAGGCGTTTTTATAGGGATTGTAACTTTAAATTAAACGACAAATGAAAGTTAAGATTATCTCAATTCATGCATCAAACCCCAAAAAAGTCCATGAAAGTACACATTTAGGTTTGATGTATTTTTAGACTAAAAAACTGGGAATTTTTCAATTAATGAATTTTGATGCATTTAATAAATACGTAAAAACAAACTGATTTCCCACTATTTGACCTTCCAATCACCAACCAGTTTTGCTCAATGGGAAACTGACTGATTAAAGAAGCAACAGATGTTTTACCTGAATATCTGATTTGCTCATTTCAAGTTGCTTGATTTTTTTTTTTATTTATTATTAATTTTTAATATTATTACTATTTTTTTTTTTGTATGTTGTTTTTAACTTTCTTGTACAAGCACTTTGAATTGTCTTTGGCTGAAAGGTGCCATATAAATAAAGTTGTTGTGCCTTCCTTAACAGTCGGTCAGTGTTTGTATCATCAGTCATCATGTACAGCATTCTGTCAGGAGTGGATGTACCCCGTAAGCTACACTGGATCCCAGGAGAACCGGTCAGTTAGTATCAAAATTATTTGTATTTATTATATTTTTCACATCCATGCAGTTCAGATTATGGCACTGAATCTAATGTGATTATTTATAGATACTAATCAGTCTCTCCAGTTTTTTGTCGCTCTGCAATCATGAAAATCACACAAAATCAGCAGAACCCTGGATTTGTTTTAAACCAAAATTTTAAATTTATTGCAAAATTTCTACAAAAATGATTAAAAAGATTTGTTTGAAGTGACTACTAACTCCCACCTGCAGGTGGCAGGATTTCTTACTTGTACTACCTTCTACCTCAATCTTACTTGATATCAGTAGAGTAACAAAAAGCTACATTTACCATCATACATCAGTACAAATATCGCACAATACCTTGCAGATATTTCTGAAGTAGCGCAACAAAATGAGTGATTATGATTGCAAAAACAATCAGGAAATACTGGAGGGACTGACAAATGTTTAAATACAAACGGATAATAAACCTGCGGCTTAAACCAGAGCAAGAATATTAATGGAACAAAGATTAATGTGTTCCATTCCAGATAAAATGGAACACAAAATTACATAGATTTTGTTGCATTAATGTTTGTGTTGTTATCTTTTAGGGCTACGTGCCGCATCTTGTCAGCACGGTGTCTGAGTGGTTCCTGGCCTTTTCCTTCATCAGCTTCTTCCTCACTTACATCAGAGATTTTCAGGTAGTTGTTCCTGCTGTTTTACATCACAGTGCTGAATATGTGAAGTTATTTCAACAGAATTACATCTGATTGTTGCAGAAACTCCAGTTCAGTTTACACCTGCTGTTAAACTATTTTTAAACTCTGTGTCAACATTCAGGAAAAACCTGAGAAGAATATTGCATTCAAAAGTATCTATTTTTTCCAATAGCACTAATCCTGCTCTTCGTTAACTCAAAGCAAAATCATAAAATACACTTTTCAATACAGACGCATCCTGTATTGATTACATTATATATTTGATTAACTTGATTACAGAAAGAAAATTTGAATATAAAATCAAATCAGTTTTATTTTAACAAAGAATAGTACTTTATAAAGAACCAATACTAAACTCACTCAATAACAAATTTTAATGAGATTTTTGTACTGTTTTATATACATGTATTAAACAAACATTTTTTCTTTTTTAAAAAAAAATAAAAACAAATAATCTAATTATTAGGAATTGGAGACCCTCTGTGGGGAGATTTTATCTGTGGACTAACCTCATGTAAATCTGAACTGTTCTGCTTCCTACTGGGTGTTGGGAGAATGACACTCATGTGAACCTCTGGTTTTATAAAAAAATACAATAAAAAAAAAAGCTTGTGGACACACAACACTTGCTACTGTCGCCTGATGTGTCATAAGACATGATGACAATTAAAAAGAATGATGCATAATTGTGAAAACAAATTTTACATTGCAATTCTATGTTTGCAGTGAAACATAAAGAAGCTGAAAGTAGAAGAAAAAACTCATTGTGCCGAATGTTTTATATATCAAGTTGTTCAGCTGGGACAAGCAGCTTGATAAAATACAGCGTTTTATAAGCTGAACATTTCTTCTTTTTTTATTATTTTCTCCAGAAAATAAACCTGCGAGCAATACCAGTTTTGCAGAGCAGCCATCTGTACGACGGGATTGTTCCACCTTCTCGTCAGAACAGACCGTCCGAAACTTCTCCGCTGCTGGCAGGAACAACGTGACCCAACATGCAGCTGCAGCCGAGTCTGCTTCATATTTGCTTTGCTTGTTCTTAGCAAATGTTTGAGACTTTTAAGGGGTCGGGGCACCATGATGTCTCCACTGTCTTATTGTACTGTACATAGTCAGATACTGAGATTCGGAAGCGATCTGACTCAAAGGTTTTCTCACCTGCTGTAATCTGCAGAGGCCAGCGCTAAGTTTGAGCTGCTCACGCCATAAGAAGGTCTTTGTACAGTTTTTCATAAGAGTTCTCCTAATGGGTGTAATAACTAAAACCTGTGGAACCAAACAAGCAAAATGCTTTTATTTGTGCTTTACTAAACTGACAATCACAATGCAGATATTTATTCAGTTGCACTATTCTCAACATATCTGTACTGCGATGCAAAGCAGTGCTTTCCTAACGGATTATTTACTGTTTTAAATAAATAGTATCAAGCTGTGAAGTCATTTCACTATAATTATTAAATATTGTCTTAGACCCTGTTGTAAGCCATAACTGGCCTGGCAAAACTGTATCAAAAGCTTATTCATGGGTTTCTTACATTTTTAACTAATATATATAAATTCTTTCTAATCTTTATTGTGTGTGTGTGTGTGTGTTTTTTCTGGTTATCTGAGCTTGGACTTTATTAATTTAGGGGTTAATGGTGTTATAAAATTTACATACCAGCTGTCAGTGAGTATGAATAAATGTTTTATTTCCACTGTAATATCAGTGGGATATGACTCCTTTTTATGATATGTTTTGCACTGGTTTATTTGCGCCTATGGTAAAGATGTGTAATAAGTCATCAAATTATTTAATATTTATTGTAGTAGCAATGAAAACTGTTGAAACTTTCAAAATTTTATTTGAGTGCACATATTCAATACAAGAAATTTTAAGACAATAAGTTGTGATACAATTATCATCTCCAATTAATTTATTTCAACACCTTCTGCACAATAGTCTGTACTGTATATGCATGCTTGTACAGGTAGCATGCATTATAGTTAACCTCAGTCTGACAGGGTTATGCTGCAAAGCTAAAATAACAGTGCAAATCACTTCAACTTTGAGGTTGAAGTGATTTAAAAAAAAAAAGTTCATTCATTTGCTCTACAAATTAGAACAACTTTGATATCTGAAATATTACACTTTATAGAGTTAAATGAGATGTTTTGATGGACTATGAACATAATTAAGTTTGTAGCTCTTAACCTGTAAACCTCGGTGTCAGGTTAAAAACAACTTGGTTGATATAAACATTTTAATTTGCACTGCCATCAAATCATTTATGCACACCATTTAGAGTAATGCAATAGGTTATAAATAAATGGATAACACACAATGGAAACAAGTAAAATATGTTAAGACTCCAGAACTAAAATCATGCCATACAAAAGAAAGCTGAACATCCTTTTTATTTTGTCATAAAACGATGACATTTCTAATGCAGTTTAAATATTTGTTTCTGCTGTGGTCATTTTCTGTTTTAAAATGCAGAATTTTTGTTTGACAGACAGATCTAAACTTAATTATGAACCTTACATAAAATATTTCCTCCCCTCACACCAAAACTCAGCAACAATAATCAAATATATATTACAGTATATTTCTTTTAAAGTCACAACATCCAATAACCACCCTGAATCTGGAATAGCAGCTTTGTAAAACACATGAAAATAAAATGCTCCCCTCTTTAAACTGTGTGGTAACTTAGTGAAACATGTTGCCATAACTGCCTCCATTCAAAAGGGGATCAGAAGAGTGTTTTCCAGAATAAGACATAAACTTACCGTTTACACTCGAAGTAAGAACCAGAGCAGTGGGGCTCTTTGCCATCTTTACTGAAGTTAATTTTACATTTAAAGCTCTATCTTAATTACACTCAATAAAATAAAATTGCAGTTATTTGCATGTAACCTGCCAGCATAATCTAAAAAAATTATCTAAAAGAATAGAAAATACCTTGGAACATATGCATATGTATTTTGTGAGCAGATTATGCTCATGGAGGGTTGTATCTGAAGAACAGTATGGAACAAAAAATATAATTCATTTTTATTCAGGCAGAAACATTGCTTCACAATCAGAAAAATAGGTTGTTGGAGCTTAACTGGCAGCTAATTTTTTTTACACAATATTGCAAATTATTAGGACCAAATTAATCACCCCGATAAATTCTAGCTGTAATTATCACAAGATGAGCTTCTCTGATTTTAGAGTCTGTATAATAATGGTCAGTCTACACATTAAAAAACATTTTCCAGTGGTGGCATAGAAAAAAACCCCCAACAACCTCATGTACTCTTTCTTAATTTCACTTAATTTTATTCTTCACTAAGTGCATCTGAATGCAACAAAAATTGTTTCAAGTCACTGAACAGAATGCAGATGGTGGCAGTGATTCCCAGGACTGGGACCAGTGTTATTACCTTTTTAATCAGTGACACACCCAGTAATTTTAGAGATTTTTTTTAATTGCTAGAAATCAGCTAGAAGCTGTGGCACAAGCACAGATGAATTTTCAACAGTTCAGCTAAAGAATAAGTCTCCTTATTCCTCTGACCTTCACTATTAAGAAAATCTTGCAAGAGCTTAGTTTTTCTCCCCCACATGATCTCCTTGTGTGCAGTTAGTTTCAGGTCTCATATCAGACCAAAAAGTTGCTATAAACAAAATATTGTGGGTGTTATAAGGCAAAAATGGGCAGAGAACGGGCACACAGAGGCCAACAAGCTCCTAACATTCAAAGGTGCATCATGTGTCACACCCAAGTCCTGAACTCTGCCCATCTGAAGGCTAAAAGGTCGTGCCATCACAAATGATGTTCTGGCCACGTCCGGGGAACAGCTCCATCTGCCAGTACCGGGGATCCGCATACACTGCAGAAGAAGACAACAATCAAGACAGAGATTGGGTCAGAATGAGAAGAAATCAATAGAGGGACTGATCCAACAGCTACAGAATTTAATCGAACACTTAATATTTTAATAGTTTAAATGTGTGTCTGCAGCAGAAGTTACCCATGTCTCCAGGTGACAGCCAAAGATTGAAGGAGCTGCAGTGTTTCTGGCATCGCTGAACAGGCACAACTCGCACTGCTGGCAGCCCCTCCCCCACCACCAGCCAACCCAGCAGCCTGACCCCCTGAAACATCAGCAGCAGCTAACAATGACATCTCAGGGAGAGAGTCTAAGGCATGCATATTTTCTGCATCTGTAACCATCACCCTAATATTTTCCCTTCAGTATCTGAAATTATTTTTTAGTTTTTCACTCAAATTCTGGGGCAATCTTCACTTGCCTTGCTTTGAGAGTTTGTGCTATGGATGACCAGGCATCGCTGGAGGATGGTCCCAGCGCTGTCCAGCAGGGGGCAGAGCTCAGCCTTTGGGAAGAGCCATCTCAACACTTTTTCCCTGGCTCCAGAACTGAACCTCCTGTAGGTACAAGGACATTCCATTTGATCAAAAATGACGTATTGATCATATGCATACTTTTCTAATATTCTCTAGAATATGTCCTGGCAGTCAGGACAGATTCCTGACAATGAGATCACACATTAATAAATTCTATATTTAATAGTAATACATTTATACTTTAAAAAGTTAAATAAATGAACGTCAAATTTAAACTATGAGCAACATCTCAAGTTTTCAACTTTAAGAAAAGCCATGACACATCAGCAGACGTACAAACACACAGACTGACAAACCCAGTGAGGAACATGCTGATCAGAGACGCAGCTGAGATCCTGATGGTAACTATGAAGAAGCTGAACAGATAAGCTGTCGATATGAAAACTATTAGCTATCTACTTCATAAATCAGGCATTTATGGAGATAAAACAAGAAGAAAGGCATTTTTGAAACAAGTGAACTCTCAATTACCATTTGGAAGAAGATGCTCTGATCAGATGAGACCAAAATAAGACCTTCTGACTAACATGTAAGATGGTAGAAAGCATATAACACTGAGCACACTATTCCAGTTTTATATGGAATAGTGATGGGGACAGTCATGTTTTAGGAGAGGCCTTTCTTCAGCAGGAATAAGAAAACTCTAGAGTTAATCGGAAGATGGATGGAGTCAATATTACATCATTCATGAACGTATTGGTTCTGATGATTGAACCATTGGCGGTAGTGAAAGCACAGACTGGTGCTGAGATTCAGCTTTCAGCGAGACAATGAAACAATTTAATCAAAGCATATCCATGTGCTCAGATGGCACAGATTCACACCAGAGCAGGGTGAAGTTGGCCGGTCCCTGAGGGAGGCCCAGGTTGTCGCTATGGAGACCACTGTCCTCCTCTAGCAGAATTGACATGGAGCCTGAATGGGCCGAGTAGAGCGCCTCCAGCTGCTGCCGCTGGATACTGAGAGACTCGCCGCCCTGCAGACAACAGTGTTGATAAAAATAAATTTAAAAAATGTACAAAAAAGAAAAAAAAATGCCTGATGAATGTGTTTTATTGCTGCAGTTTTTATTTAATTTATATGTGATCAATGTGCGTTTTTGAAAATGAGTTTTAAAACAATCTCATCCACTTCACTCTTGAAAACACAATTCAAATGTGCCAGTTTGTGTCAAACTGTAATGACCACAAGTTGTGACCAGTGCTGTGTTTATATTAAATTTAGCAGACCCTTTTTATCAGAAAAAAAAATCTAAAAATTATGCAGAAAACTGGGAAAAAAATACTTCCAAACAAATTTAAAGTAGGCTCTAAAACCACCAAATAGCCCAAGGCAACAATGGCTACTCTTGATCAAATGGAGCTGTGACCTTCAGCAGGACCAGCTGAGGTCCCCGTCGCAGAGTCACAGTTCCCCTGAGGCTTTCTGGGACTTCCAGCACGGAGGAGATTTCCGCGCATCCTGAACAGTTAACCAGACTCTGCCGGAGAGAACCAGCACTCCACCACTCATGAAAACCTGCCACACACACAAACAAAATGAAAATCTGAGTTTGAGACGTTAGAAACCTCCCGGACCGCCAGGTCACTTTAGTCGCTTCAGGAAGTAATATTTTCAACTCCAGTTGATTCCTTAAACTGGATTACACTTAATACAGTAGAAAGACTCCTAAATTTATAAAATTGTCCACCAAGATGCAGAATCTATTTGTCCCAAGTTAAGATCCGATTGTTACAAGCCTTCTGGAAGTTTGCATTTTGTACAAAGCTTCCCACCTTGCAGGTTGTACTTCTTGGCAATAGGAAGGGAAAGCAGGCGGATATGGCTAAGGGGGGACGACCGGTTGCAACATCCCAGATTTACCAGTCCCAACTGGGAGGAGCTCTGCGGGTAGGTGAAGGCCAGCACCACCACCAGCAGGAAGCCCACAGCCACCAGAAACTGCACAAAAACAAAAGATGTTAAAATATTGAGAAACCATTCATTCTACCGTACAGTCAGACATTACAAGAATGTTACGCTATCCACAGGTTTTTCACCTTAATGGTGGCTCTTAGAATGGGGAATTGTGGAGGCTCTCTTCTTGGCTCATTGGTCTCCAGGACCTGCTTAATGAATCTCTCAATTTCTCTCTCTGACATGCCATAGCGGTAACCCGATTGGCGGAGGATGTCGATGCTCTCAGACAGTTTGTCATAGATACACGGCTCGCTTGTTGTTGTCCCCATAGTGACCGCACTATGGGTTTGTTGTCAAACACGTCAGTTTTCAGCTGGTGCAGAGAACCAGGATCATGGCGTCACCTCACCTGTTAAGAAACCAAAGGTTGTGACCACCTTCTCTAAACTATACATTATCGTTGGTCTCAATTGGCTTATAATCCCTCTGTCAGTGGTTATTATTATTATCAATACTAATTTTTTTGTTTTGTTTGGTTTTTTAAACTAACATTTCAGACAATCAGTCAAACAAATTTTAACATCAGGCAGAGGAAACCTTATAACTTGTCTGATTCTTACCTAATACTGTATCTGGACATTGCCTGGTCCATAATATTGGTACATATAATGAAAACACTCACACACTGTTGTTTTGCACACTGCCACTTTACTAAACTGGGTTTTTAAACATCTTGAAGGTAACAAAAAATCATGCCAAGTTGTTATTTGTAGACTTTTCATCAACTTTTAACACAATACAGCCCCATATTTTGATTGATAAACTTCTTAATAACTTTCATCTGGATTTTAATGTGGTGGGCTGGATTCTTAATTTTTTAACATCCAGAACACAGAAAGTCAGAGTCAATGGATGCAAGTCCAGAGGGATGTCCCTGTCTACCAGGTCACTTCAAAGGCTGCGTCGTTTCCCCTCTTTACATTTTGTACACGGATGATTGTCGGCATAACAATATGATGATGAACATGCCCATGACCCTGTGGTCGATGAATTTGTTGACCGGTGTGATAAAGCTTTTCTTTTATTAAATGTACAGAAAACAAAGGACATGTGCATTGATTTTAGACAGAAACCCCATAACACAAATCAAACAGTAATTAAAGGTCAGACAGGAGAAAAAACTGAGAAAACTTTGCACTTGATTTGGTGTTTGTGGCTTCTGTCAGTCAATGATGACGTACTCTGCTCTGCTTTTTCTATTATGTATTGATTGGTATTTCATGTCCTTTCGATATGCTTTGTCTTTTATTTTTTAATCTTTGATACCTTGTCTTTTAATTCTTTATTTTTTTCTGTAACATTACTTGCCCATTTGGGATACAAGCAAATCTGAATCATTGTTGCGCAAAAAAAAAACGCAAACAGTCTGAAGAGATGTCAGAACAGCTTTATCTTCTCATTTAGTAAAACAGGAACCTGTCAACAAAAATTACATAGCAAATATACAAACCGATGCAATCACGATGGCCCAGTGCTCACCAAAGCAGTTAATCACAGATAATATTTAAAAAGGGCTTGTTGTGTGATTAAATAATTCAGAACAATAGAAATAGAAATCTGTAGCCGAAATAATCTGACAGGTTAGCTTCTCTGATAGCAACATCAGCTTCTCACTTCAGCAGACACAATTTCCCGAAAATAAAATCCTCACCTTAAGGTGATATCCACCGTTGTAGTAAGAACATTCCCATTTCTTTAACCGTTGCTATGGATATTTATATTTTTAAGTAAAATAAACTACAGGTCGTCAGTTAGACTTTAGACATGGCTGCATTCTGAACGACAGTGAAGTTCGCTTCCGATTTGTAACTTCCGGCACAGCAGCTGAGTAAGAAGCATTTCACAGCATCTGGTATCAGCTATGGTTTAAAATCTGGATTAAATCTTTAACATTGAATACGGACAGCTTAATACACAATTCGTGTTTTATAGATCTCTGTTGATTATGTAAAAATTAAAAATAAAAAGGTGAGTTTCGGTACTTTAAATCAGTTATCAAAGTGGGGTCAGAACCAACGTGAGGACTTGATGTTCTCTTAAAACCCCAAAGAGTTCTCCAAAGGAAATAAATAAAATACCAATGGTACATCTTTAGCATGCCAAAAATTTTAGAAGAAACAAAAAACTCAGCACATACAAGCTGATAAAATCTTCACTTGGTAATAATGTGTAATTAAATATTATTTCCATTTGTAGCAAAATGTGATGCTCTATGTAACCTATATTTTGAAAAAAATCTTAATATGGACAAAAGGATCATTAGAACATCTTAATTCTCAATCAAAATTGGATGGAGTGACATGTTATGTTGTGCATGTGTTAAAAATGAAATGGAATAATGTATAATTTGCTTTCAAATACAAATGCATTTATTTCAGAAAATATAATCATAAACACATATGGGGCAGTACAAATTACTGTCATTTGAAGAAGAAAAACGAACTAAAAGAAAAGGCCTTATGTAATGAAACTAAATTCTATTTTTTATCGAAACCCCACTTAAAAAATAAAGAAGTCAAAATAATCCAATATGTATTAAAATAAAGCTTCTATGTAGTTTGATAAAGTTTCGTAAACGTTTCCTTTTAGCCAATCCAGCAAAATATACAAATCCTTAATCCCGCCCAAAACGGAACCAAAACAATTCCCCTCAGCCAATCAGAGCACGGACAATAAACGGAAGTCCCAACTCCCCCTTCCGTTGATTTTGCAACTGTTTTACAGTAAAGTCAAGCTGTAAACAATTACGACGTAGTTGAACGGCAGAGATGTGGAAGCAGAAAATTAAATGATACTTACCTTTCTTCACAAAATGAAGCGAAAAGAAACCTTAGTCCGTATGAATTGTAACGACTATCATTCAATAATGGTATTTTATATGTTTTCCAAAGTAAACTTATAATGAATGATCAAGATTTATTGAAGACTGTAGGTCCTGAGGGAACTCAAGAAGTACAAACTTCCACAGGACTGGCTGGTCATACATTATTACGTCCTGTGCTTTCCCTTCATCCTGGACTTTTACAGGTCTACAGTCAGGAAGGAGGCAGTTAAAACCCCTGCATCCTGGACACAAACTAGATTGTTCTTCCCTGGTTTAAAAAAAGTTACACATTTTCTGTTCCATAACAAAAAAATGAACATGTGGAGAAGCAGCACAGTGCTTCTCCACATAACAAAATATATATTAAAGGAAATATGTTTACAATCAACTCACCTTTTGACTCTTTGGAAGGGCTGTCATTATGAAACAATGTTTTCTGTTGCTCTGTGAAAACAAACTGTGCAATCAACTCTAACTGCTGTACAGCACTAGGCCGAAAATAAAAAAAATAAAAAAGTTAAAGCGTACAACTCTAATCAGAATTCAAAATTACTGGCAAAATAAAACACATTTGAATTTGCTGTAATAAAAACATCTCATGGTTGTTTACAGTTAGCCTTAGCAAGTGTTTATTTTATTTTATTCTATAAACTTTAAATGTAATTGGAATAAAAATTCCTTTGTGGTTTTACATAAAAGCAGTAAGATGATGTTATACAGTAAATATTATTTTAAATGTTTACATATAAAGAGTACTAAATGTTTGTGTGTATTATATTACTCACGAATATCACATGTGTGAATCTTATAATGTCCAAAGATTGTTCTCAGCATTTGTATTTATCAGTTTCGCTTAGTACCTAGACTGAAAAATAAAACGTTTGCTGCCTCAGATGGACACTGGATTATTGCAACATGATTTGTCATCTTGATAAAAAATAAAATAAAAAAACTAGCAGGATGACAATAATCTTTAACTATCCTACAACACAGCTCCAGAAGTGCATAATAATATTAACCAGCAAACTCCTTACTTCTACTAGGCATTAGTAATAAATTTCCAGTATCACTTTAAATGTGAAATCCTGTTGTGCAAGAGGTTTAGAACAACAGAGAACCAGTGTTTACTGTAATAAGGGGCTGCTAAATGCTGCTTATAGGAATTCCATACAAGACACTTAAAGAAGATGAGCAGCTTTTGTGCAAATGTTTAAGGACCATTGTACGTTGACATGTTCAAATATTTTTGACATAAATATAACCTTATTCTCTACATTTACTTTCTTTAACAATGTATTTCAGTTGTATAATTTATTGTGCAACCAAAGTTATGTAATGTTTTGCCCTATAATGTCTATATAATGTCTATATAGATACATTATTAGATTGTAATTATCCTTAAACAGAAAATAAATGTCACAACTGTATTTATATATTTAGTCAAAATGTCATTGAGTTATCTAAAAGAAACTTTTATTATTATAGTTTTTTTTTATTGTCATTGTCTTTTGTTTTGAAAGTCCACTCCGGAAGCTAACGTTGACATGTCGCTTTGACATTGCCCGTTCTACTGCAACCTGTATGTCACTCTCTTACCTGTATGTAACAGAGACCAACGGATAAGAACAGAACTTTACTCGTGTGCAACATTTTTGAAGACTTTTTATCTTCAGCTTTCTCTAACAGGAGCCTTGTTTTCTGATCAAGCTCACGTCATTATATTTTCGGTGTTCAAGTGAGTGTTGGCGTGGACGAAGGTCGACAGAGCTTTAACTGAAAACAGTCTACCGAGCCGATGCTTTCCCCGGGCAGGACCATCTCCTCCCGGCTGCTGAGGCCGGCCTCGTGCCTTCCCTTTCGTCTGTCTTCTGAGCGGACAGCCGTTAGCTCCATCCAAAAAGGTAACAACAACCAATCTAACCTACTTATTTAATTTGAAGTAGCTAGCATTAAGCTAATCCCAAAGTGACGCAGTTTATTAGGGGGTACAGGAAACTTTATAATACCTGTGATCTAATTAAATATAATTTCACTGTGTCAGAAAAATCACATAGCTATTTGATTTCATTGCTGTTCTTGCTGTAACATGTGTGTAAATGTGTTTGAAAGGCCAACTTATAAAACGAATTGTGTTTATGGGCATCAGTTTTCATAACACTAATGCTTTTAAGTAGTTCTAAAATGGTGTTTTGGATTGTACTTCCATACACGTTTGGTTTACAACCAGGGTATATTTTGCACATATTGACTAAGTCAATCTAATGATAATTATTAGCTTTTGTATAAAGTTCAATTAGTGCACTAGTTGGTTTGTTGATTTAAAAACTTATTTTCCCAACTGAAAGAAATGTATGTTAGCTATTATACTGCTAACTTGTAGTTCTTATTTCTGAAAATAAGTAAAATTTAAAACAACAAAAAATGGCACTTTGTCTTCCCTAATTTTATAAATATAGTTGAATCGATGATGTAGCCAGGCAGGATTCCAGGCTAATTCTTTCATCAGCCAATCTACCATTGTTGTTTTCAGAGTAGCTTTATATTTTGAAATGTCTGACAGTTACCTGATTTTGGGTCAATCATTTCATCAGCTTGAATAGATCAGAAAATATGACACATAGCTAGACTACATTCAGTAAGAACCTTTTGTGATGAAATTATCTTGAGCTTGCATAATGTCCTGATTGTCTTGGACTTTTTTGTAGTGAGTTTAAAATGTGTGAATTGTGTTTTTCACTGTAGAGCTGATCAAGAAACATGAACTGGAGAAAGATGAGCTGCGGCCCCTCTACATGGACTTCCAGGCTACTACTCCTATGGTATCTGTTTCCTGTCAATTATTCTACAAGTCATAATGAATTGTTTTGCCTTGTATTTGCATTTATAATTTAGTTCTGTATTTTGAAGTTCAATAGTCATGACTTCTGTTCATGTGGCAACAGCTTCAAAGTGCTAATGAACAAAGTGGCTCTTGAAAAAAAATCAGCTTCTCCAGCTAATATATTTTACTGTAGGTTGCGTAAGGTTTTCTTTGTGTGACCTTAATTTCCTAAACGTCTTCTTTGTAGTGGATTTATCTGATCATGTGGAAATCCTGTCCTTTTTTACTAGGAACAAATTCTCTGTTTTATCATTTGAAAGAGACTTATGCTTCTATTAAAACCTCTGATTAAGATAATTTTTGAATCAGGCTCAGCACACCGTGCAGCTTCCTAAACTAATAGATTATGTGTGTGTTTAACAAGTTATTTTTGGTATATTTAGGATCCTCGAGTCCTGGACGCCATGTTGCCATTCCAGGTGAATTACTATGGAAACCCTCACTCCAGGACACATGCCTATGGTTGGGAGAGTGAGACTGCCATGGAGACTGCCAGGAAGGTATCAAGACTCTCACTCAGGGCAGGGAGAAAGTAGGAAAAAACTTGTAGTATGCAAATACTTTAATAAGAGCTCCCCTATCTTAGATTAAAGGTGATCAGGTGTTCTCAGTGGTAGGATCTTGAATGAATTGCACCCTGGGAAAAAAACTCTCCTTTTGCCTTCCCACTTCTGCCCCACACATAGTCACACAGCCTACTAAAGCTGTTCTGCAAAGAACTACATTTTTAATTATGCAACCAATCAAAAACAATTAAGAAGTAAACAAAAAATTATATATACAAATATATATTTGTGTGTTTTTTCATGAGCAGCAGGTGGCCGATCTTATTGGAGCCGATCCCAGAGAAATCATCTTCACCAGTGGAGCCACAGAATCCAACAACATGGCCATCAAGGTCTCGTCTTTTCACTTTATTATTTTTACACACACAGACAACCTGAACTCACTTCTGACATCTAGTTTTGTTTTAAAGTAAGAAAAAGTTTTTTTTTATTTTATTTTATAATGAAAATAATTGCTGCACATTATTTTAGCACATACTCTGTTGTGTTCTCTTATGTTTGCAAAATGCTTGAATAGTATGGA